TCAGTTCAACCTAAGGGAGGCTGAAGACCAAATATGAGGACTGAACCCCAAAGTGGCTTCTGTCTTCCCGGGCATTATGGGACTTTGTGTATGTGTGAAAGGAGCGGTTTGCGAGATGATAGAAGCCCCCTCTGTGCCCAAGAGTTTTTGGGCAGTGCTGGGCACCCTCTTCTCTCTCTTGCCTGGGCAGGGATTTCCCTTCTCCTCCCCGAGCAGGTGGCCCTCCCCTGCTGTGGGCATCTTCCGCCAACCGTGCCCCCATCCAGCGGGCAATGCTTGGATGGCCGAAAGCCACTGGCTGTCCAGCTTATAAGCATCTGGACGAGGTAGAGCCCGAGTGCCAAGACAGTTGCCGGCGGGTTGGCACGGTGCCCTGCCCGCCTTCCCAGGCCCCACGGTTCCCCAGCTCCTACTTCCCCTCTTCCTTTCACAAAGAGACCGTCCGTCCAGTTAAATCCCCTTTTTATGCCGGCAAGCTCAAGTCTTTTGTCCCTGGCCCGGCCAGCCTGCAGTAATGTGGCCGGCCGTGTTTGCATAGCAAAATGCTGCTTTGACGAATTCCTGTCCCCATCTGTAGCCCTAGGTGGCCCACGGCCCGGCGGTGGGACTGGCTGCTTTGCTTTCACCTGAGCCCCCTTTGAGGAGAGGGGCTGGTGGAGATGGAGGGACCAGGTAGCTCTTAAAACCTCCCCCAAGTCTGGGTATTGCGACTGTCCACTTCCTTACCTTAAACCAGCAGGCCTAAAGGTTCAGTGGGCTGAAGGGGTCTCGGGGAATCTTCCCAGTCCCAGCTGGGTGTTCTGACCGAGGCTTCTCAAGAGCCTGAAGCAAACTCCTGATCCCAGCAAAACACCCCTTTTATTAACTTCCTGTGAATTCTGCTCATTCACATCCAGCAAAGTCTTTCAAGGGAGGATTTACGGTCACAGACCTTATCTGGCTTGGAGAGCTGCCAGGCCGATATCTGCAAAACGTGGCAAGGAGTCTCGGAGAGTCACGAACCAATTAAGCAAACTAGTTGTCACCTGCAAACTCCACTCCCCTTTCGCTCCTCTTTCATTCCCTCTGGGAGGGGCCATTCACTGTCCACCACTCCCATGATGGCGAACCTATGGCACGCTCAGTGGGCAGGCGCGCTGTCGCCAATTGCTCTTCTGGTTTCTGGTGCTGGTTTTTGCGGGTGCCGGAGCGTTGGAAAACTACCTGAAAAATGCCCCCCAAATAATCTTTTTGGCCTGTTTTTAGACCAAAAATGGTCTGAAAAACGCCCCAAAAAACGGCCTGAAACACCCCCAAAATGGCCCAAACTAGCCCAAAACGGCCAAAAAAACAGGCATGCGTGCATCGGGCAGCTGGTGTTTGGGTTTCTGGCACTCCAGCACACACACATGCACACGTGTTTCGGTTTGGGCACTCAGTGCCGAAAAGATTCGCCGTCGCTGCCTTACTCCCAAGTCGGTCCCTGATCTTTAGCTGTTGTCTCCTGCAAGCTCCACTCCCCTTTCGCTCCTCTTTTGTTTCCTCTGGGAGGGGCCATTCATTGTCCACCTGTGGCCTTACTCCCAAGTTAACCCTTGTTCCTTATCTGTTCCCTTTGTCTGGCAACTCTGCACATGCACACACTGGGAACAGGCTCCAGTGTTCTTCTGCCTCACTGATGTCTGACTCCGAAGGCAGCTGATAAGTGGCATATGGCTCTGGACCCCTCTCTGCCTCCAACACAGAGTCCTCCTCAGAGCCTTCCCCAGACTCCAGGATTGGTCCAGGTTCCTCCCCAACTTCCTCACTGTCTGAATCTGCCATCAGCTCTGATGGCCACTGGCAGGCCACAACACTGGGGAGCTCAGTATGCCAATCTTCCTGGACCTGCTGGTGGGCAGGGGGCTTCCCAGCCCCTCATCCCTTGCTCATCTCTGGGCAGTCCAGAATCATTTCTGCCCCACGAGGGGGGAGAAACCTAGGCAGACAGGCAACGTGCGATTGGGCTCCTCTATTTTCTTTGCGGCCGCCAATGTGTGTGTGTGTGCCTTCTGTCCAAGTCTTCGCAGAGAGCCGTTTTCCCTTCCCCAAAGTGTGGTCATTTGGCACGTCCCTTCCTGGCTCAGGAACATCTGGCAATGGGCATCTTCTAAAATGTGTGGCTTTCTCCCATCATCATCCCCCAGCCAGCGCTGATTTTAGAAGTGGCAGGCCAGGGTTGCTTTAAAGCAATGGAGCCTCCATTGCTAGAGGAAGTCTGCCCCTGAGTTCCTAAGGCGTGAGAGCAGGATGAGGGGCTCCGTGAGCCTCTCTGGCCTCCTTTCATACTGGAGGCCATGGTTGAGCCCTTTTCCGTGCAAGAATTTCAGGCTTGCTCAGTTGTGGGATTCAATTTTTTTTTTTACTACCAGTTCTGTGGGCGTGGCATGGCTTTGTGGGTGTGGCTTTGTGGGCGTGGCAGGGAAAGGTTACTGCAAAATCTCCATTCCCTCCTCACCTCACTTACCTGCTTTCCAGCCCCTGTTCTTCTGTTCAGGGCCACAAAAAAAGATCCGCTGGGAGGCAGCAGGGGCGTGGCCAGCCTATTTGCTGGTTTTCCGAACTACTCAAAATTTCCGCTACCGGTTCTCTGGAACCTGTCAGAACTGGCTGAATACTACCTCTGGGCTTGCTGCACATTCCCCATTCTTGCTGCAGGGATGCCCTGTAGTGGCATCCTTGGGGCATGGCTGATACTGTCTGCAAGGCAGGAGGGGAGGGGCCAGGGCAAGGAGAGATTTCCTGCCAGCGGAGGCGAATGGGAAACCTCTCTGCCTGCTGGAGTGAATGCTCAACCTGAGCCCCCCCTTCCTGCATTGCCCTCTCGTTGTGAACTCTGCCCAAGACCCGGGAGATGGGTTGACCCGGCTGCCAGTACCAAGGCTGGCATCTGTCCTTCCCAGGCAGAGATCATCCCTAGTAGGCACTCAATGCAGAAGACTCTTGATGGCTTCCTGAACAATCAGAGAACATAACCAGGAAGTCCTGGGGTTCTGATAAATTCAGCCTCTTTTTGCCATTATGGTGTTTGTGTGTGGGTGTGTTTGTGTGTGGGTGTGAAATAACCTTTCCCACATTTGCAAAGGTCCTAATCAGAATTGCAGATCTGGTCTACTGTTTGGTAGTAGTGCCAGAGTGGCTGTGGGCATCCCTTCTCCGAGGCTGATCTTTGCTCCTGCATGCCCAGGGCCCTCGGGCGGGTGGGAAATTCTGTTCAGAGCCTCATCTTCAGGTTTTCCTGTGTTGGCTGAGAATCTGTGCCATCTGCTTCCCACCCTGACTGCCTCTTTTGGTGCAGGGATGAAGGATGGCATTCAGCTTCATGTAACATTCCTTCATTCCCCCTATGCCTCCCCCGACAGCTCTCGAGGTCCCAGCCCCAGAGAGTCACAGCATCCGCCCTTCCGCCCCAGAGTGCTTTAAGGACCCTTGTCTTCCTCTCTCGATGGGCCTCTTCCGCCCTTCGGAACAAGTCCCCTTTGAAGTCTGCCAGTTTGGGCTCTCACCAAGGCGGTGAAGTGGCCGTAATTCACTTGAGGCCATTTCTCTAGGCAGGGAGGTGTTTTCCATGCATGGCACCCAGGGGTCGCAACCCTCTAAACCAGCCTTGATGGGGAGGGGGGACGGAAGGGAGCTTTGCTCTCTGCTCAGCATCTTGCAACCAGGATTTGGGCATCGGGAAGCAGGAGAAGGCCAGTGACGTGGCTCGCCAATGGCCAGCAGAGCTGATAGTAGATTCGGACAGTGTGGAAGTTGGGGAGGAACATGGGCCAGTCCTGGAGTCTAGAGAAGGCTCTGATGAGGGCTCTGTGTCGGAGGCAGAGAGGGGGCCAGAGCCGTCTGACAGTTATCAGCTACCTTCAGAGTCAGAGGTCAGTGAGGCAGAAGAACAGCTGGAGCCTATTTCCAGTGTGTGCATGCACAGAGTTGCCAGACGAAGGGAACAGCTAAAGAACAGGGGTCGACTTGGGAGGAAGGCCGCAGGTGGA